TCTGCTACATTCTGAGCACAGACGGACGGACAATGTTGAATCTAGAGTCAGAAATGTTCCTCACACTTCTTACGCTCCTGTGACTCAATCTGAACCTCAGCCATAAAATAGATTTGCATGAACACAAAGTCGTTTGTATCGAGTGTTGGTGTGAGGACGTTGCTGTTGTTTAGACAAGGCAGTTTGAACCAGATTGTTCTTCTCTAATCTGAACTGTTTTGGTTCAAGATGTGTATTTGAAAGGCTCATGTCTGTAAATAAAATATTCTTTGGGTTTAGTCTCCAGACCTTTTGGATTCAAACTAGTCTATAACCCTTGGTAGCATCTCTATAATGTTGCTAATTATTTTATTAGGCTGTGCTGGGTGACACTGATAGCGGCCTGTCCTCCCACGTTGCTTCTCTTCCCTCCTCCCTTCATTACTCCTCCCCCCTTTTCCACCCCTCCTCCTGGCCCTGGCCCGCTCCTCCTCTTCCTCCGGTGATTCCTCGTGTTGAACTTCCAAGCCTGACAGCTCACATGCTGGAAGAGGAGGAGCAGACTCAGGACATCTGTGGGAAGTGAGATTATGAAACGGGTCTCCTGTCCTTTGCTGACCCCAGCCACCACCGTGACACCATGCAAGCAGAACTGACCAAATGCATGTTTGACTTTATTTTTTTATTTTAACTTTGGCATTCCGGGCCAAGTTTTTGCCTCGAGGGGTTTAGACATATGATTTTCATTGTTAAATTTTCCTCTCAAGTGCAGCGTGCTATGTCAGCCACATGCTGCTATGAACACCTTGTTTTGAAACCCATTTGAAACTCTCAAACAATGCAGGCCCGGATCTTAAAGCAGGAACATTTTGTGCCCATGTCTTTTTGTTTATCTCATCACACAGCTTTCCTGTTAGGCTGCGTTACCTTGACGTGGCAAAAATTCACAGCAGTTAACAAATACAGCGTATTTATCCACACTAACAGCCCTGGGCATGGAAACGTCTGTCAGTGCCCCACTTTGGTCCAGACAGTCACATTGTTCTGAAAGCTCCGGTATATCCAGCTCGGTGCTAAAAAGTACCGCAGTGTTTGCAAATTCACTGTTAAATGTTTTTTTAAATAGAGCATCGACTGAAACACTTAAGACAGCTGATAAACAACAGGTACCTACTTTTGCATGTTCCTTTTTCATTATTATTCCTTATATATACAGGTACAACAAAACAAATGAAACTACATGTAAATAATTTGTCACTTTTCTCCCTTTGTAGCATCTTATTTAAATACTAGGGGTGTAATGATCCATCGATCTGTCCAGTCCACACCGACTCAGAAGTATTCTGGATTAAAAAGGACACACACAACAATAAGTGTGCATGTTAAGCTTTAAACAAATCTCCTACTGCAGTGCAGGACATTTTTAACACTCCCATCAAAACTACTGGTGGTTATATGAAAGCCTGTTAATGTCGAACACTACCAGCACAACAACTCTGTGACTGTGCATCAGTGTGATTGCAGTCAAACTGGGCATGTCAGTGGGAATCCTTAACTAATTTGTGGTTAGAAAAGTGGTTAGAAAGGCAAAAAGCAACTTCCTCAAAGGTGGATAGGAGTCAGCCTTTACAACAAACACTTGCTTGCAAACACTTCATGGTTTTTTTTGTTGTTTTTTTGGAAGTGGTGAGAAAATGAAACCGTGGGCTTATTTGTGTTCTCTGTTGTCTCTCTGTTCTCCTTCCTTTCCTCCTCTTCACAGGCTGTCAGCATCAATAAGGCCATCAACACACAGGAGGTCGCTGTCAAAGAGAAGCATGCCAGGAATATCCTCATATTGTCCCTCTGGGTGCGTGAGGAGACGAGTGCCTTTATCCTGGTTTCTGTGTGTATGAGTGGAAGCGTTCTTCCGTGGCTGGAGGGTTATGTTAGTGCAAAATCAAAAGGAGAAACTCGGTGTAACCCTACCATCTACACATGGCCCTGTTCCAGAGCTAATTTAGTCATGTGTGAAAGGACAGACGGAGAGGAGCGCTGTTTGGGGTCTGCAGAGTTTTCTCTCGTATTCCATTTCATCAAACATCCTAAAAAGCACAAAATGCTAATGTAAAATAAAGGGGGAACCACTTTAGGCCACATGGACACATAACATTTCAGTAAAAAACAGTTTAAACTGATGTTAAAAATGCATGTTTTCTGGGTGAAGATTGGTTTTGTGGAAAAAAAGGTGAGTGTATCAGAGTCACATCTCTGAAAAGGAGTGACGTGGATGTCCAGACCTAGATGTAGAAGGACGCTGGGGGAGAGGTAAAGGACAAGTAAAGATATGATAAATGTAACCTTAGTCACAGGCCAAAACAATGCATTACAACACCTTGACTGTCCCCCATCACCCTGCATCCTGGGGACTCATCATGAGAAAGGCGCTCACACTTTCTGGACGGCCGTCAACCGGCTCCCTCTGTCCAGCAACGCGGTGCTCTGCTGGAAGTTCTGCCACGTCTTCCACAAGCTGCTGCGAGACGGACACCCAAACGTATGTAAAGATGACATTGTGTACTCACTGTGTGATTGCCCTGTAAATGAAGAAGAATTGTGCTTCAGTTTATTATTAAACCTTGTCGTTACGTTAACACTTTCCCCCGGTCTCCCTCCTCCTCTGTCGTCCCTCCAGGTGATAAAGGACTCCATGAGGAACAAGGCTGATTTAACTGATATGAGCAGGATGTGGGTAAGGACATAGAGATTTTTATACAGTATTTTTTGCTCTAAGGGATCCAAACCTATTCCACGGGTAATCTTCTCTACTGGTTTTTAAACATTAAACAATATAAGAAAGTTGAATAACAGACTTAATATTCAAAGGATGTGAGACAAGAAAAACATTTTCTGTTTTAAAAGGTGAGTCAGCAGCAAATAGAGGAGGAAGAGGTCTTCTGCTCCCTTTGTGGCATGAAACATTTAATCAAGTGATTTCAATGTTACATGTGCAGGTCAGGGATTTGTATCCCACCTAGAGTGTGTATGTCTTTTTTTTTTTTTAAACCCTTTATCTCCTAATGATAATTACAGCCAAAGTTGTCTTGTTAGTCCTCCTGTAATTTAAGTCCAGTCTAGTGAGATTCTTTTACAAGCGTATCTCTGAGCTGTGTTTACTTAAGAAGTTAAGTTGCATTCAGAAAGACATCGAAGAGGTTTGCACTTATCTGTGTTAATCATTAAATTACATTTGTATAGGGGTGTAACTTTATTTGTAATTTTGCGATATCACGATTAAAAAAAAATTCTCGATGCCGTTGTGGGACTGTGACGGTACATGCCAAACCAAGACATTACTAACCCCCTTTAGGACTGAGATGGCTCTGGATACAGTCATAACAGGGCTGTGTGCTACGCTTTAACAGAGATGGGCATACAAACCGGGCGCACATCCACTTAGTAACCACCCTTAATTTTCCCCCATATATTTTTTTTTTTGTGTTTGAATAATATCGCATTGTGGACTCTTTAATCATACTGTGAGTTTTTTGCATCGTTACAACCCTGCTGTTATAGCTTTTGTGACGGGGGGCTGTCTTTTTATGGTCATCATCACAGATCGCTTGTTTCTCGGCACCCTGCCGCTGTCAGAGTGGCGTGACAGACAGGGTGGCCTGTGATGGACAATGCCGTGCCAAATGTGACAGTGAGTGCTCACAACACGACATCTGCCATCTAGATGTCCGAGCTAAGAGACATTAATATTACACAAGCTAATCTGTAGCTCTCACCTGTTTGGAAGGAGCATGAGTTGAAAACTGAACCTTACTGGGGAAGTGCTTTCTGTGTGGATTAAAAGTCTCACTGGTGATAACATTTGCATTGATCTGAGTAAGTCCATGATACCAGTCAAGATATTCACAGGTTTATTGTGTAAACCTGTACATACTCTTCTCCATTAAGCCACAAAATGTGCTTAGTCACTCTTCAGTTATGTCTGAAGCAACGGGGACTTGGGTGGAGCCCCAGCTATTAGTTGTTCTTACTCAGTTTTTGCTGATGTCACTAGGCAGGAGTGTAGAGGAAATTGGGTACCTGTGACTGGGGCTGTGGCTTCTTTCTCCTGTTGTGTCATCACCCACTGCACTCCCAGGCTCAAGGAAAAGGGAAATGAGAAATTACCACTGTTGTTCAGCTTTGTCCTCACTCTCAAAACAAATACAAGCCCTGCAGTATGAAAATGTTCATTGTGTGCTTTCAGCCACAGTTATTTCTCTACAATACCAAATGACTTGCTCACTCAGTGTTCTCTTACCACCTGACATCCATGAGGAGAAATGTGAATTTTCTGCCTTTGCTCCCGTCTCCCCTCCACTCTCCTAATGTCTTTCTGCCCCTTCTTCTCTCTCCCACAGGGTCACCTGAGTGAAGGCTATGGGAAGCTATGCAGCATCTACCTCAAACTACTCATCACCAAAATGGAGTTTCACATCAAAGTGAGTTGGCCTGGCCTATAAAACCCAGCACCAGTCTCCCACATCGCTCATTATCTTTGTCTCAGACTCTCCTTTTAGTGCCAGTGTGTCTCTGGAGGGGGTGGGGCCGGCTTCATAGAAAATTCTGCCTTTTACTCTAATGGCTTCTTGAGAATCTGTAATGTAGTCTTTTCATGAGACAGCTGAGCAGAGTGGCACAGGGACCAGAGGCAGTGCTGATGCTCTCGCAGGAAAATGTAGTTGGTTGTTTCATTGCTGAGGGCTGGAAATTAATTTGAAACCAAGGGTGAGGACATTTTGGTAAGACACGACTTGAGAATCAGAGGATTGATGTGCCACTTTGACCTACAAAACCTTTGATCTGCTGTTCTTTCACATCTCCATGGCTCTATTTACTCAGCCCACTGTTACATATTCCTATAGATCAGTGTCCAGATTGATGTAAAAGCTTGAAGGGCTGTCTAAGATTTAACCTTAGCATGTCAGTGCTGCTGAACTCACAGCGGTAGAAGTAATACAAGTTCTCTGATCATGCACTCGGTAAAGGTCATTTAATCAGCATCAGTACATAAAATGTGAGATTCTGTCTGTAAATGGTCCCAGCCTCGTGTCAGATGGTGACAGCTGAACGTCATGATTTAAGTTTAAAGCTTCCTTCTGTCGTCTTCTTTCAGAATCCCCGTTTCCCAGGCAACCTGCAGATGTCAAACAGACAACTTGACGAGGCGGGAGAGAACGACGTTAACAACTTGTGAGTGAGACGCGCTGCCTCTGTTGTTATTTTGGTTATTGCTGAGTAGGACCTGCAAGAATCTCAACTGTGGGGACAAGTGTGAAATGAAATGAAACTACATGAATACTTTTAGCTGTGTCGCACCATAGCTGACCCTCGTATATGAATAGAAACCAAAAGGTTGTATCACTTTAATCAGATCAACCAACCACAGTGCTGTGTCACAAGTGTGGATTATATTGGATGTTTTACTCCAGATTTGAACATGACTCAGCCAGTCAGGACTGGCTGGCAGGAAGGAAGGAAACTCTCCTTTCTTAATAAAGAGCATCTCAGAGTAAGGCTGCCACCTGCTACTGTTGATGATGGAGCTGTGTGTCTTTGTTAGAAGCGAATTTACCTTCTTTCCCCCTCCAGCTTCCAGTTGACGGTAGAGATGTTTGACTACCTGGAATGTGAGCTCAACCTCTTCCTTGGCGGTAAGTTATTTTAGTCTGGCTGTCTGTGCTACCAGCTGTGCTTGTCTGGAGCAGACCTCACCAACACACACACACACACACACACTCAGACAGGAAGACAGTCTGACTGATAAACGCACTGTACAGGAATAGGCACTGTGACAGACAGATGTGGACTGATGATATCCATCGTATCATCAGAGCTCTCCCTCATCTGACTCGAGGCTGTTAGTGGTTACATGCTGCACTTATAACCCTGCTGTTGTCTGGGTGAGTCATCCTACGTTACGGTCTCTTAAAATATGAACTGAACTAAAAATAGACAACTGCTATGTCACCAGGAGCTCAGAAGAAATGCGGGAAAAGCTGTGCACACTCTGGTTCTTAAATGAACAGGAGGAAATTATGTTCTGGTTTCTATTTATCATGCCCTTCATTCTGTGTCCTGATGATGATATCTCCTGCTCCTCCTCTTCCTCTTTGTATAGAAATGGAGATACCTGCTAAAAATGGATCTCTACATTAGTGTTTAGGACAAATTACAAACAAAGTCCATAACATGTTAGAACATCCAGATCTCAGAGCCTCCTCTGGTCTGGTTTATTTAAAAGCATCACGTCATCCAGGGGTAAAGAAGCCAGGCCTGAGGTGTCTCTCTGTGTGTGTGTGTGTGTGTGTGTGTGTGTTTTCTAGCTGTGCAGGAAACCACACCTCTGCAGCGCACAGAGGCTCTCAGGGCCTGGCTGTGGGGTTGTTTGTGAGCAGGGCAGCAGGGAAATGAAAGAGGGCCATAATGATGGCTGCAGAGAGGGAGTCAGACAATCCAGTTAGTGTTTTATAGTGCTGTGCCCTCTTCACTTGACTTTAAACCTTTTTTTTTAAAGCACCAGCATGTGTGTTGCTGTCAGACACTTTTTTATTAGTTAATTTTCATAGCGGAGGCAGCAAAATAGAGAGACTCACAACAGCACGACTTCATTGTTTCATGAAAAATTCATGATTGATGAGCCTCATGCATGACCGTGTCTGTGTTTGTGTTAATAATCACTGATTTTTCCATGTGTTAGTGTGTGTGATGACTCCTTCTGTGTTTGTAAAAAATCCCTGATGGGTTCGCATGAGACTGTTTGTGTATACACCCACGGGCCACTCTATTAGGAACACCTGTACAGTTGTATGCAATCCAATGCAACAGTTCCTCCTTAACATCTGTGTTTATGAAGCTCAAAATGTTTGTTTTTGCTGAAATAAATGTATAAATTCACTTATACGTTTATTAGTGAAGTCATAGTTAAAGGTGGTGTTATACTAGACTACATTATATTTAGAGGTGTTTTTATACTTTTGTCCTCCTCAGTGGCCGGTGAGTGTACGTTGATCTTGTGGATGCATATTTTGATCTGTTGCTTGTTTCTTTCTCCAGTATTCAGCTCTCTAGACATGTCGCGGTCGGTGTCAGTGACGGCAGCGGGTCAGTGTCGTCTGGCCCCTCTCATCCAAGTCATCTTGGACTGCAGTCATCTGTACGACTATACTGTCAAGCTGCTGTTTAAGCTGCACTCCTGTGAGTCACACGCACACATCTATTGGCCAAAGTGAACAACTACAGACTTAATAAAAACAGTACAGAGTAAATATACAGGATGCAAATATCCAGCGTTTTTGGACCTTTTTCTGGTTACTAGAAAGCCTTCTTAACTTTCATGTTATAGTGATGCACATGTATTGACTCAAAGATGGGGAAAAGGAAAATATCATTTATAGTATTTAATAATTCACACACAACACGGGGTCGTTAGTCAACGGGCCTCATGTAAGAATCAGTTACATGAACAGATTCATCCTCAAGTGGCACATAAGAGCATTTTAAGAGCCTTTGTGGCACTCACGAGGTTTCTTACTTAGGATTTTCTCTTAGGTACAAACACATTTCACTGTTGATTAATGTAGAAATTTAGGATAAGAATACGAACATGTTCTCTTGCGAGAGGCTCATTATTTTGGAACTTTGTCGCTGTCTGTCATGACTTGTCACAGTAAAATTTATTTGATAACAGGTGTGAATTAAGAGTTTAACCCTTATTTGGGTGCTTCAACAAAAATCTTCAAAGCTATCATGTCATTTTGTTGGTATTCTTATCTGAAATCTGTTCATATGACTGTTCCTGATGAACACCACCTATTCACAGGGGAGTGCACATTAGTAGGTTTTGATTATTAGTATAATCAATGACCCAAATTTATTAAATACGACTTTCTGTTTGTGCTCTTTCTGCTCTGTTTGTAGGTGATTTGCTTTTACAAAAATATCAGTTGTCAGAAGTCAGCAGACAAAAGCCTAACACATTTAGGAGTGTTTGTAGTAGAGCTGCAACTAGTGATTTGTTTTATTATCAATTAATTTGTTGATTATCTTTATGATTAATAATTTAGTCTGAGATGTCAAAAAGTTGCAACCTCCCAGAGCCCAAAGTCAGTGTCCCTAACTTGCTTATTTTAACTGTCCAACAATCCAAAACCAAAACACATTTTATTCACTATCATTTATAATCAAAATTTGCCGCAAATCCTTATATTTGAGAAGTAGGAACTAGCAAAAACTAAGACAGTAGACACCAGTTAAGTTATATTCTGATCACCTCCACTGTTGCTGCTGCAGTCAGAAGCTGTATTACAGGATGTGAAAATATGCAGACACCTGCCAGTGATGTCTTCACTACAGTAATACTGCACTGCGACAGAGATAAAGTCAGAAAGGAGGTTAGATTTATGGCAATATCATCTTTAACAAACTGTTTCTGATGAAGAGAGGACAAATTGTGCTGTAGCCTGTTCTGGTATATCAGATTAACAGCAACAAAAGTGACTTTAGACTTTGTTCAGATCAGGACGTTATGTGGAGAAAGACACTGTACATGACTCATGTACTGGACCCCTCCTGAGTCTTGTTCATAAGAGAACATTTTAACACAAGAAATTTTCTTACATCCCTCATTTGTAGCAAATCTGTTCATATGTGTGACTCACTGTCACTTGTCAGTGTTGGATATAGGTCGTTTCTAGCTTTACCTGTAGCTCTTCAGCATCCTGTGGTACAGAAATACTGTGTGTGAACACTAACCACAGGTGACACCTCTCTTCAAAGATGAAATTGTGACACGCTCTTCTCTGAGTTAAAGAATTTTTCACACCCTTGAACCTTCAGAGACCCTCTGGCTAAACTCAAAAATGCAGTTAGTTCAGTTTCAAAAAGACTTTTCTCAGTTTCTGAAAAGTAGAGGATTTAAGCTGATATAATACTGTATATTGTACCTGAACAGTTTTGGTGTCCCCAGCCCTGACGTGTTTGTGTCTTGTGTGTTGGTGCAGGCCTTCCAGCAGACACTCTCCAGGGCCACAGAGATCGCTTCCAGGAGCAGTTTAAGAAGTATGAAGTTCACTTGCAGTCACACACAGGCAGAAAACCAGTCATTCACAGCTTCACCGTACTCTGACCGATCCTGACCCTTAGGGCTGAGCTCTTAGTGCTGAATGGATTTTTCAGTGTCAGACTCCTCTGCTCTGTCTGAACCTTCTCACATCGATTTTCTGTTTATTCCTGGGCTCCTTCTTCTTCCTGTCCTTACCTTTGTTCCTCTCCGTTTCAGGTTAAAGAGCCTGTTTTATCGCTCCAGTAACTTGCAGTATTTCAAGAGGCTGATTCAGATCCCACAGTTGCCTGAGGTGAGGGCCACCCTCACTAATTTTTAGATTTTCCACATTTTAACCACACCTAATGCTCAAGTTGATCCATGACGGTTGTTTCAGTTTTCTGTTTAGCAGATTGTTTAAGGTCCCAACAAAAAGCTATTCTGGTTATTTATAGACTCTAAAACAGTCTCAGATGCCCTTTAGTCTTTTCCATCAGTTACATCTTACAATACCTTATTATGTCTTTCTTTTCATATCAGTTTTGAAGCTAATGTCTTTTCAGATTAGAAGCTCTAGTGAGACTCACAACAAACTAATACCATAAGCTGCTCCTTACTGCTCTTTCCCCTGCTCGTCAGGTCCTGTTTCCTAGCAGTGACATAAACGACTACTGTATCATCCTGAAGCTAGCATTAACTGGTTAATGAGCAAACCCGGCAGTCTAGTAGAACACTCTGGTTACTATTAATGTGAGACAAAGCCCTAATTTTACACAAAGCATGAATTATGCTGAAATTAAAATAATGATTTAACGCAATAAAAAGGCAAACTCATGGCCATGCTAGGTTGCTAATGCTAGCAAAACAAACATGTTTAGGTATAGATGCTAACAAATCCAGAAGGAAGAACACCATATCGGAATCAAATTGGAGTCCTTTGACTGCTTTTAATTCCATCTCAAAAGACCAAACGGATGTTGACTCTGGTTTTTGTTCTTTAGCTTTGTCCCACTCTTTCTGTGCAAAAGAGCATGATCTCTTTGGTCTGGCAGCCGCTGTTTCAGACGTTTAGAAGACGAGAGGTCCCTCTTGGCTCGGTGTTCAAAATTACTACTTGCTCCTTGAAAAATGTTTCTTATAACCTTCACTCAGTGGCAGGTGGGGCTAATGTACAGGGAATATTTTGACAGTAAAAAGTAGAGAAGCTGGAATAACAACAGAAGGACTGTTACAGAGAGACACTGCATCTTGTCCCATTTATCAGACAATGTGCAGAAGATAACTTAGATAATGCACCTTTTATCAAGGAGAAGCCTATATTGTGATTAAACGTGTGCTTTGTGATTCTTGCAGAACCCTCCTAACTTCCTGCGTGCGTCAGCTCTGTCAGAGCACATCAGCCCTGTGGTCGTGATCCCCGCCGAGTCGTCGTCCCCTGAGTCAGAGCACGTGGTTGAAACAGATGACCTGGTAGACACAGACATCCCTGTGCTGCCGGTAACTAAATGCAGTCCATCTGTTTTGTATCCGATTGGCTTCTTGGCTCTTATCTGTGCTGTTGTAATCAGCAATCAAACCTTTAGGGATGTTGTGTTTGTGGGAGTTGTCAGGAGAGAACAGATGCACAGAGGGAAGCTGGTGGAAGAGCTTGATTCAGTAATAATATAATAGATAATGCAGTAATGAATGGCATTTTGCTCCCACAATCCAGCTGCAAAACACCTGGATTATAACCTCTGCATTAGCAGTTCGGAAAAATAAATCCTTTGTTTTGTTATAAATTCCAGTCAGTAGTTTAGAAGATATGAACTATTGGTGATGACTGTGTCATAATAACTATTATTCTAATTTCAGGCAGCAATATAAAGATGGCAATTATAACCTTTATATCCTTCCTTTTAAAACCTCTTGTTTTAAACACACAGGCTGCTTTGGAGACCAAGTTTGACGACCTGTTTGGCACTTCAGCTGCTATAGATCCCTTCAACTTCAACAGTCAGAATGGCATGCGCAAGGACGACAAGTAAGGCTGGAAAATGTCACATTATGAATGTCTGTATGATTATACTGCAGCTGTCATAATGATGTAAAAACATCACCCAGAAACACAGCTATTCTTCAAATCAAACTCCTGACAGTGCAACAATACTGTATTGTTTGTTATATTAATACATCAACATGCAGAGTCCTGTTGCTTCAGTCATAGTTCATCAGAGTGACAGCCCAGGGGAAGAAACTGTCCTTGTGTCTGGTTGTTTTGGCATACAGTGACCTGTAGCGCTGTCCAGAGGGGAGGCGTTCAAACAGTTTGTGTCCAGGGTGTGAGGGGTCTGCAGAAATCTTCTCTGCCCTCCTCTTGACCCATGAAATGTACAGGTCCTCCATAAAGGGCAGGCTGGCACCGATGATTCTATCTGCCATCTGAACTGTCCGCTGGAGTCTATTCCTGTCCTGTTTGCTTGCTGAGCCAAACCAGGCAGTGATGGATGAGCAGAGAACAGACTCAGTGTAGAACTGTATCAGTTGTAAAACTAATGCAAAGTTAGAAAAGAATAAGGGCACAAATCAAACAAAAATTCAGTTCTGACAGATGACAGTCACCAGTGTCAATACTGTGAATTTATTTATTTGATTACCGAGAGCTGCTTTGTCTGTATCCGTCAGAGACCGTCTGATTGAACAGCTGACGAGGGAGATCCAGGCCCTCAAAGATGAGCTGGAGTCTTTCAGACTGGAGGTAAAGACTGGGGGAGCCTCATTTATGCTGTTACTGGTTTCATTTCTCTTTTCTTGCTTCATTGTGTCTCCATCTATCACCAGAGTGGTCGGTTGTGTCAGGCGCTGAGGGGGCGTGTCAACGAGCTGGAGGCAGAGCTGGCCGAGCAGAGCCACCTGAGGCTGCAGGCTGCAGGAGAGAGCGAGTTCCTGAAGGCTGAGCTGGATGACTTGCGGAGGGTCAGAGAGGACACCGAGAAGGAGCAGCGGAGCCTGACGGAGATAGAGAGTAATGTAGTTTGAAGATTTCCGCTTTTAGGTTTAGGCCCCTTCATTGTTTAATTCTTCTATTTGCTCCTGGTTGTATCCAAGACTCTACTAAGGGATGTTGACTTCAGATGTTCAGATGTTGTGGGAAACATTGCATCTTCTCTTGTTCTTGTGGGGTGAGACCACAAAACATACAGTATATTACTTAAATGCTTTAGATTTGGAGACGGTTTCTGACACTGACCAAAATAAGGCAAGAAAACGAGTGAGTTGAAGCACAAGAGAAGATAAAACTAAAGGTTATTTCATGCATTTCTGGTGCTGTTGCCTCATGTGCTGTAAACTGTGTTTGTCTGTGTCTTACATCAGGAAAAGCCCAGGCCAATGAGCAACGGTACACCAAACTGAAGGAGAAGTACACAGAGCTGGTTCAGAGTCATGCAGACCTTCTGAGGAAGGTGAGAGAGACAGAAATCACTTCTACATGATCTTTAAATCCTTCTGTGTGTCCCTGTGCCCAACCACAAAAGTGCCGTCCTCCAACTGTCCTTTATATTTCCACTAAGCTGAAGATCTAGCGTATGTCTTAATTACTTTGGTGTGTTTCCCTGCGTGTCCTCGTTGGGGTGTGTGTGTGTGTGTGTGTGTGTGTGTGTGTGTGTGTGTGTGTGTAGAATGCAGAGGTGACCCGGCAGATGACTGTGGCTCGGGCAGCACAGGATGAAGTGGAGGCAGTGAGGAAGGAGATGCAAGAGAAGGTGAAGGCTGCCCAAGAGGCTTCAGACAGGCAGGTGAGGATGAAATCGATATTACAATTGCTAATAAACATGTGCAGCAAGTTAACCCCATGCTTTTAACTCAGTGTGATTTGCTAGAGGTTCAGAAAGCTTGAACCATACCGCTCTAGCTATTCTGAGCTTTGCAAACTGTACAGAGCAGGAAATTGAAGAAGTGTCATCTGAGGGCTGAGAAGATGTTTGAAGGGCCCACAGACTCCATTAGAGACTCAGCTGACTCTCAAATCTGATATTTCACTTTAGATTAAAGTGTTCCTATTATTTATGTTTACAAACTGAGCTGGTGTGAGCTGCCTCTACTGAGATTTTGACTTTTCTTGCGCAGGAGAAGGAACAGCTGGAGCAGCTTCAGGAGCTCCAGAGAGAGCTGGTGTCCACCCGGGTGGAGCTGGACTCCCTGAAGACCACCATGGCCTCATCACAACAGGTCACTCAGCTTTACTACTCCTTTCACACTAAAGGTGTTTTCCAGTTTGTGTACCACTCTGCACTTGTGTTCTTCCAGATGTGTTCCAGCTCAAAGTCTGCACCCAGTCAAGTACTTATAAAAAACAAACAAACAAACAAAAAAAACAGAAGTGTTCTTGCTCTGTCCATTTTGTCAAGGATGCTTTGGGAGCTGACTTGTGTGGACTTGGGGCGGTCAAGTATCCTAGAATACACTGCACACCAGCTATCAGCGTTTGAGCTCAGAGCTGTTATAATTTTCATCCTAGGACTGAATGCAGCCCTTTTTTCCCCATAATGATAACCACAGAAATTTAGACAGATAATATAATTCTAGATCCTGGATCCAACTTTTCAAAAGCCAGTTTTGAAAGCTTGGTAAATCAGGGTCCTAGATCCCGACTCTGATGGTGGAAGTTTACAGCTTACAACTCTTGAACTTTTATTTATGAATGCGGCATGCAAGCCCCCCACCCCCCAAACAGTGAAATGTTCCAGCATGATCAAATAACATTTTCCATTTTGTCATATTTCTAAAAAAAAACATTGTCTGTGTGCTCCTGCTTTACTTCCCTCTCTGTCATTCCCTCCATCCCTGTTTTTGTCTTCCCTCTTAGTCACTGACTGCTCTTCTACTTCAGCCATTATCTCATTCAGTTTCTGACAGAATTGAAATGCTAATACATTTCTTTGACATCAGTGATTGAATGAGTTGGTTTTCAGAGTGGGCAAATTGTTTAAACAGAAGAAGAACTGCTCTCTCCCTAAGCCTCTCTCCTGGCTTCGTTTTTCATCTCTGCACGACCGAGCTAAGTGGAACTTGCGGATTCCGAGTTGTTTACAACAGGCTCCTGAAGGCATTTATTTAAGAGACCAGAATGAAAACACAGAAGCATTAACTCTTTGTCCAAATGACAGCTTGTATAAATGCACATGTTTGGGTCCTTGCATTCTACATACTTACTGGATATTAGTGGAGGATTTCATTACAGGATCCTGAGTATGATGTTTATTCTTGCATGTTATGTGGACGTAATACACCTCTGTCTGTAGCTGTTAACTCTCACTATCCTTGACAGCTTCACTGATTGACTGAGTGCCCTTGACTTCAGATGTTTCTCTGTATATGAACTGTACCTCTCTTCTCTCTCTCTCAGCCTCCCACTCCTGTCACCCTATTTTTATAGCATCTACGTATTCACTCTGTCACTCTTTCTGTCCTCCTCCATCTCTCTAATCTCACACACAGCAGCCCACATTTTCTCACTCTTGTCACATGCTTCTAGTGTCCAGCTCTTAGCAGCTTCTGTCATGCATTTTTATATTCTTAACAATTCTCTTTCATGTCTGTGCATTTCTCCTCCTCTGTCGGACCTCCTGGCACCCAGGCTGTAAGTCTCTCGCCTGTTTATTGTGGAAACACCTCATTGTTTAAACCTCTGCCTACAAAAGGAGAGTAGTTAATAGTCCAGATATTTCTTCCAGCACACAGGATCTGATGTAACTTCACTCTGTTGCCACAGCTCATTGCATTGCAGCAGGTTGCACAACCACAGCTGCGTAGTATTCTTTTGATTGTAAACTTGACCTCCACCCACACCTCTCGAGAGACTGTCTGCCTCTCCACAAAGTGGAGCCGGTATTGTTATAATCAGTAGCTTTAGATAAAGTGCTTCTTTATTGTGAGGTCGGAGCATTCGCATCATTCCACATCCGGACATGTCCTGACAGCTACATACAGTATAAACCAAACCATGTTGCTCTTTTCATTGTGTCTTGAAATCATTTTCTTCCCTTGTCTGTTTCATCCTTTTTTATTGTCTGTCCATCTTTTATTTCCCCCATGCAGTCAAGTGAGGCTCTCGGCACACAGCTGGCTGCCCTGGCGTCTGAGAAGGCTGAGCTGGTGCAGTCTTTGTCGAAGGTGGAGACAGAGCTGGTAGTCCAGGGGCAGGAACTAGAGCGAGTCAAAAGCTCACTGGCGACTGAGCGGGAGAATGGGGTGAAGACAGCAGAAGCCTTGCAGAATCAGCTCAATGAGAAGGTGAAGGCTTGTCACGTTCTTCATTAGCTTTCCTAATTAACTCTGGTAATCAGCTGTCATACATCAAGCAGATGTTTCAGTACCAAATAACAGAACCACCGAGAGTCATTGTATCTAATGACTATCTTTATTTTTCCTATTTAGATTCTCTGGCATTTCACATAAAGGTTGGTGCAGTAAGTTTAGCCATGTCTGTGTATCTTTGTGTTCACAGGAGAGCAGGGAGCAGGCCCTGGAGAGCCAGCTGGTGGCAGCTCGCTGGAGCAGTCTGCAGGCAGCTGTGGAAGAGGCAGAGAAGATCATCCGGGACTCACTGGCTCAGATAGACAACCCGGCACACATCAGCTCCACCAGCTCCGCAGGTCAGAAGCACATGCTTTAAAGCTGTGGCAACTGTTACAACACACAACGATGCTGCTGTGATTCAGACAAGGAACACTAATTAGCACTGTGTGTAGTAATGTTTTTTGTCTTTGCTTCTATCTCGTCGCCCCGTGTCTTCTGTCTGCAGATTACCTAGCATCCAGGTGTCAGGCTTCTTTAAACTGTATTGATCGACTCCATTCTGCCAGAGAGGCTTTCATAGCAGACAACACGGGTGAGATGAGTCGCTTTAGCTTTGTAAAGATTCTGTACATTCTGTAAAGAATTGTAACAACAGTTGTCATTTTAATGGTAATTCTCAAATGGAAAAACACATGTTTTAGCCACTTGTAGCTCTGCATTTTAATGAAATACACTGCATTCGGTCTAATATAGCTGTTTCCTGTTAGCTAATAAGGTAATGGCTCGCTATTGTCCCTCCTAAATGCTGGCACAGTTGTTGTAAGGTTTCTGTAGCTCATGTTCAAAATACAATTTCTTTGTTTAGATGTGTCTGAGCTGGTACGAGCAGTGACCCAGTGTGGCCACCTGGTGGGCGACGCTATCGTTCAGGGTAGTGCCACCTCCCACATGGTGCCTGTGGAGCAAGCTGATGGTAGGTTTGTATGTGCATGTGTGTGATACAGAGATATAGAGAATAGATTGCAGTCTCCAGTTCTCTCCTGATATTAATCTGTGGGTGACTCCTTCAGCCCAGACATGTTGCGACTTGTCTGTGAGTAGCTCATCTCCCGTGTTACATGATTACACTAAGGTTGTACAATGTGAGTCGAAACTATTGTCTACATAATGTATTGGGGTTTACACTAATTGCAGCACTGGAAAATAATCTCCCTGTGAGTCTGTCATAATATCAGTTTGTATATCTGAATGTCCGGCTGCAGAATTCACTTTCACCTTTCAGAAAGGATAGAACAAAATTACAGACTTCAAACATGACTAATGTTTGTAGAATTTGCTCTCAGGAGAGATTTTAGCAGCCTGGGCAAGTCTAAACAAGCCAAAATATAAATGAGCCCTGGCCATTTCTGCAACAACAAACAAACGTGTAGAACTGAAACTTGTTCCGGCTGAAGCTCCGTTTGTAGCTGTCGCTCTGGGAATCGATGGAGAGCGCTTTGTCCTCAATTTGCTGAAATAGGTGAATTCGGCATTTGAAAGCCTGTGTACAGTTTGATGCAAATCAGCCGTCCTACATCTAAAAACACAGGTCAACAGCTGCTTTAGAGGTACTTTTAGTGTCCCTCCTCCTCCTCAGCAGAGTGGCTGTTTCAGCTGTTAGTTGACACTTAGCCTGAGGGGATGTAGTATAATTAACACGGCAGCTGCAGCCACTAGTGACACTGTTATGCATAAGAGTTTACAGAAATCACAGTATGTTTTTTATTATATACTTTATTGGCAGTCATTTGTGTGATAACACATGTGTTTTCCCTATCCTTGTCTCTCTCCCTGTCAGCCCTGTCTGAGAGTGTGAAACTGTGTGGGACTGAAGCTCTGGCTCTGCTGGGACAGCTGAAGCAACGGGACAGCCTGGCCGCTGCAGACAAGAGCAAGCTGAAGGCAGCTCTCGAGGCCATCTTAGCCACCGCAGAGGTCTGTACTTAATACTTACACACTAATGTTTGTACAGTTGCCGCATGATGATGATTTTACAAAATCTAGACCTCGGTAAAAGGTTAGAAGGTTTCTTTTTTGTGTTGTTTGATGTGTTCAGTCATCTTTACCAACTTCAGCCTCTGTTCTTTTGTCATTTCAGAAACTGCGTCCTCGGGGTTTGGAGCTACAGCAGGGTGAGCTGGGAGACCTTGTGGAGCAGGAAATGGCTGCAACTTCTGCTGCTGTGGAGTCAGCAGCTGCCAGGATAGAGGTGTGTGTGTGTGTGTGTGTGTGTGTGTGTGTGTGTGTGCGCTGTGTTCATCTGACAGCAGATGTGTAATGAAAAGTATTTTCTGTGTGTGTAGTTTATGTGCTGTGTGAAAACTTTGCCCCGTTTCACTTCACAGCAGTATGAACTTCAAAGTGCCTTTTGTTCTCTGTCTTTTGTGTGTCCGTGGATCCCAACAGGAAATGCTAAACAAGTCTCGAGCAGTTGATACAGGAATCAAGATGGAGGTCAACGAAAGGTAAAACTCGGATTAGCGCTAGGTTTGAGAGCTCTAGAGAAACAGACTAAAATCAGTTTTTCACCGTTGCATCACGTACAGTTAATCATATATCTGCAAACACAGCTGTCTCCCAGGTGGAAAAGTCTTCACTCAGGGTCTAATTTGTTCCTAAGGGGGAAGAAAAAGTCAAAACTGAATACTTGAACAATCTTGCATCTAAATGAGTTCACAGAGAGTGCAGGGACATCACCTTTGTTATTCTTACAAGAATATCACATTTTCCTGAAATAGAAGTACAGCTGACCCACAAACAAACATTTCTACTTTCTCTGGCTTTGTCTCGGCTTCGCTCCTCTTCCCAGCACTCAGCCAAGCTTCCAGTTATTTGTTTGTGGAAGCAATTGGCCCATGATGTCATAGATACAAATAAAGGCAATGAAGTGGGAAAGGATGCTCTTTGACAGTCACTTGGTGTTTCAGTGCAGCTGCAGATAATCGTGCACTGAGGGCCGATGTGCAAAGAATTTCATCAGTTCAGTCACAAAGTCTGTGCAAACTGCAGTCTAAAGGCAGTTTGTTCAGAAATCTGTTGATTACATTATTGGGGAGACGTTTGGCTCTCTGCACCAACCTTAACCATCACGGTGATTTGTTATGAGCACTGAACCTTCCAGTGCTACAGGGATGGTGGCTCTTTAGGGTTTAGATTCATACAGATGTCAGTTTATGTTTAAACTCCAGAAATGAAGATAAATGGTGTATTATTCATAAAGGCTGTGCAACAATTCTCTTTGTGGGAAAGTTTTCTGCGCTCCCTTTTCTCTCATCTCTACCACTGACCTAATTATAAATGTAAAAAGAGTTGTTTTCTTAATAGCAGTTAGCTGCAGATAAATAAACAACTACTGCAGCCTCAGATATTGAGAATTTAGGTCAGTGGTGCATTGGTCTTGTGGTAACTCAACTGTGGCGAAACTACTTCCTAATAGAGGCTAATTTTCTTTTGTTTTGAGCTCTAGTGTTTAAAATGAAGCAGCTGTGTGTACAGGTTGTTGATATTTTTTTAGCAACATGGCTCATAAAATGAGCAGATTGGATGAATATAAATTGCATCCAAAATATTTGCAGGCACACAAGATGTTTTCCTTCATGTGATCATTGTTAGCAGCAGCTTGTGTCCTCTGCTCTGTCGCCCCCTGCAGGATTTTGGCCTCCTGCACGGAGCTGATGCAGGCGATCAAGGAGCTCATTCTGTCATCCAAAGATCTGCAAAGGGACATCGTAGAGAGTGGCAGGGTGAGATATTCTCTTCTTTGTTTCTTCCCATAGTGAATAGAAAGGAACAGTTTTGGGACTGTTTATAAATTTCTCATCAGATTTTGGATAATCTGCATAATTTCTTTAATTACAAAATATAACCCCTGCGAACTGACCAATTAGAATCTACAGTTTATTGGTCGTAAATACTTAATTGTAATGTCTAAATTTCATATTAATATTGGTAGAAAGCTATTTTTTGGTCCATTATATGTATGTAGTGTATGTTGCATGGTCCAGGGGATTTGTACTGTTGTGTGTGTGTGTCGTTTTTTTTTTTTTTTTTTACTTAAAATACAGAATATGTAGATACGAAAAAATATGTTGACACCTCACCAAAACTATACTAGTACTGTTTCAGGAAGTAACAAAAATAAAATGTGTTATGGTGAAATCCCATTATTTTAAAAATGTGTAATTATTATTCTGATGAGTGTTGTTTTATACAATTCACATATATGTTAGACTAAAGATTTGCCCTTAAATCCCTGCACCCCAGCGCAGCTCTAAATCAGAAATGCTGATATTCTGTCAGTGTGAAAAAGGCCTGTTTCCAGCCCTGTGTTCATATCTGATCATTTCACTTATATATGTTTTAACTTCTCCATGTGTCCACCAGGGGGCAGCATCTATGAAGGAATTTTATGCCAAGAACTCCCGCTGGACTGAGGGGCTGATCTCTGCCTCCAAAGCTGTGGGATGGGGCGCTACGGTCATGGTGTAAGTACCAGTCCTGCCCTGAGAGTCTCTCACTCACCACACAGAGTAAAAGGACATCAGGTCAACAACAAAATGGTCTTAACAAATATTGACTGAATGAATCCCTTGAGATCGTTTTGCACTGTGCTGTGTGTGTTCCAGGGATGCTGCTGATCTGGTGGTGCAGGGAAAAGGGAAGTTTGAGGAGTTGATGGTGTGTTCACATGAAATAGCTGCCAGCACAGCACAGCTTGTGGCCGCTTCCAGGGTGAGCAAAGGTTACACCAACTTCATTTTCCTACTCGAGTCTGGATATGTGAATAAAGGCAGTAGCACCTTTTAAATCTATACAAGTGTAGTGCGTGGTTTAAATTGGTATTTGCTAAGTCGGAATAAAACTGCAGTGTCACAGGAAATCCCTTCATCTTCAGGTAAAGGCAGACAAAGGCAGTGCCAACCTGCAGCGTCTCCAGCAGGCATCCCGAGGCGTCACACAGGCGACTGCAGTTGTTGTGGCCTCCACCAAGTCTGGGAAGTCCCAGATTGAAGAGACAGGTGAGAGACTAGGAATTTTGATTGAACTTATTACATAGTATCCAGATATTAGCTTTTTTTCCAACTTTGTAAAAAAAAAAAGTTTTGATTTCTAAAATTGTGGGAGCTATAAACTATAATTAAAAGTCCAAATTTGTTTGAGCATAATTTGTTGTTTGTGTCCAGATACAATGGACTTTTCCAGCATGACTCTCACACAGATCAAACGACAGGAAATGGATGCACAGGTGAGCAGCAGGATGCACCACAGGAGCAAAATACACATGATTGATTCTTAAAAATTGTGTTTCAAATCAAGCAAAAAAAAAAAAAAAAGGTGGCTTTCATTGGTAAAAAGAAATCATCTCCTCTCCATTGGTCCATAGACTCTAAAGGTACATTGTTTTTCAACTTCTAAGAAGCTGAGTTTTCAGGCTTCACTCTGTGTTGTGCCTTTGCTTTACCCCACACTGAAAGACAAATACAACAAAAGCCTGGACCTGCTCACACACTACAAAAAAGAATAATGAATTGTTTATCAGAATCTAACCATTTTTTATAACAATAGCATTGTTATAAAAGTAAAAAAGATAATTAACTGCTTCTCTGGTTCATATCTAAACTCTATTCACTATACTGTGCTTTAATGAATATAGCAACAGCTACTCAACTATTTTATGTATGTGATTCATAAAAATAACTGTCTGCTTGGAGTGTTCGGTTTTCCATGGTTTGCGAGGGGAATTGACAAGTGCATGTTTGTCTGTGTTTTGTCAGGTCCTGGTTCTAGAGCTGGAGACTCGTCTGCAGAAGGAGCGAGAGCGTCTCGGCGAGCTGAGGAAGAAGCATTACGAGCTGGCCGGCGTAGCAGAGGGCTGGGGCGAGGACGAGGAGGGTGAGGACAAAGGCCCATCACAGTCATTGTACATCAGATACACCCAAAACATAGTGCAGTAAGAATGTCAACAATGACCACAGCCTGTTTTCTCCTCTTCCTCCACAGGCACAGGTTGAGACAGCCCTTGCTATTGCCCCTCTTCTACCAGAGGACCATCCTCCCTCTGCCCCTTTCTATTTATATACACTTTTCTCCCTTGTTTTCTTCTATCTTTTTTGTTTCTTTGTTGGTTATCAAAGCCAGATGAAAAGGTGCTTTCTTTTTAAGCCTGCTTCTCCACCTGTGTCTGAAGTTTCAAGCACCAAGGGCTCAACAGTGGGGGCGTGTGAGGAAGGAGCAACCAGATGTAAGGAGTTGGGGGAAAGAAAACGTTACAGGCCACCTTCCCACCCTCGCACCCTGCCCTCGTCTCTCCCGCAGGACTGTGTTGGTGAAAATCAGCAATGAAGTTGATCTACTCTGCTGAGTATTTATCATCATCATCATCTTGTTCCTCTTCTTCCCCTTTTTTAAAATATGGTGCTCTGTCAAGGAGTCACAGCAGCGACGCTGTGAGCACAAGTTCTACACCAGACATCCCAGGATGCACTGCACAAAGGCCAAACTCTCAGTAGAAAGAGGGGAGATCGGTGACTGTCTGCCCCAAAATCATCTGTTCTTGTGTAACATAGATGGCATGCATGCACACTTACTCAACCAAGTGTTTTTGTTCAACGTTGTGAGCTCATAAAGCTGCAGGAGCCTGAACTGCTCTTCGTCACTTTGATGCTCTCCTGCTCTGTAGTTTCTTTGTATTCTTTTCTCACTGTGAGTTATCACCTTATTAAGTCCATACCACTACACTGGCTGGTTCAATGGACTTTCTGCCTTTCACCTCCTCACTATTGTAACGACTGTGACTGTTAACTTGAGCCGACCTCCCCCTTTTTTTTTTTTTTAAACAGACATTTGAATGGAAACTCTTAAAACCGCTCCATATTGTCAGTGTGCACTTTCAGAACGGGAAAAGTAGCACAGGTTTTACCTCTTAAGTCTTCCCCTGTGAGCTTTGCCACTGCCGACTACCTCATGCTACATCATCAGAGGTCAGAGGTAGCGATGCATCGTGGGGAGGTCTGATGAGTAAAGAAGTGTTACCTAAACACTAACAGCACAAGGTTCATTTGGCAAGGGAGTAGTAATGTTTGAATTAGGACAGGGAGCAGTGAGAGGTAACCCTATGTTTCTGATCTAGAAAACAACACTTTGGGGTCGGCTGCTTTTTCTTGTGTAATGAAAGTTTTTTTTCTTCTTCTTTCTAACAACAGTTCAAGACTGACAACAAACACAAAGTTGTTTAATAAAAGTGAAGACCCATTATTGGTGCATATTTTTAGATCTGTCTTTTAGTGGTCAAGCAGCAACACATCTTTAACAGCAGCAGAGGCTTTGGAGCTGGGATCCAGACACAAAATGAACTGCTAACGATGTTGTCTTGTGACAGGCAGCGTATTTCTGTTCCTCCTGGAAAAGAAACGACCCTGGCAGCAATGACGGCTGTGCTCCTGGTGAGGATGCACTGCAGGAGACGGGACTGCCTGCTTAAGTCAGCTAAATCTGCAGGAGAAGCAAATCCTTCAAAAGTTTGATACTTTCAAATCGAACTTGAATGATGGATTCCGAGAGCCTCCCACTGCACAAGTCTTTTATTAGTGAAATATTTTAGAGTCGCCTGGTTTATTACATGATCCTGCCTCCTCAGATACCCTGCAGGACTGGTGGGTGACTGCAGTTTTATAACTCCTTCACTAACTGTGCATTGCCAGGACCCAGGCAGACTCTTAAGTATGCAGTACACAGACTGCAGTGTTTTCAATAGCTTCCTCAAGACCAAGTAGCTGTGTATATAAGCTACAAGCCTTCTATTGTTGGAAATTTTTTTTTTTTTTTTTTAAATCTAAAGCATCTGTTTCTGCATCTCTCCAAGGAAGAATTTCGTTAGATTGAATTAGGGATACAAAATGATGCACAAACACCACACATAGCTAATATAAGTCGTTATTTTTTTCTGTAAGATGCTGTTATTTAACAGAATTT